GAGAGAGAGAGAGAGAGAGAGAGAGAGAGAGAGAGAGAGAGAAACACAGTGAGAATCTCCCCAGCTCCTCTGCTGTCCTTGTTGTCCCTCTCTGCGGCTCTGCAGAACATCACACATGGCTCTAGCTTCCACGTGGTTCTGGACACCATCCCATCCATGATGGGTGCATTGCGCATGGTGTGGATCATCTCAAGACACTTCAACAAGGATGAGAGGATGATCCCACTCATGGAGCGCATCGCCTGGGAGATTGCTGAGCGCGTGTGCAGAGTGATCAACCTGCGATCTCTGTTCAAGTGAGAAGCCACAGGGCACTTGGGGTTCCTTCCTTCCAGTAGCTCTGCTGAACTACAAGTCACGCAATACACCCCTTAAAATACACAGTTGGGGAGTGTGTGGCTCAGTGGTAGAGCCCATACTGGGTTCCCAAGGCCCTGGGTTCTATCCCCAGCACTTCAGAAAATTGTGTTGGAGACTCAAAAGCTTGTAGTGTACTCACAGAGTCGGACAACCATCACCTCTATCAATTTAAGAATGTTCTCTTCATCTCCTAGAGAAACCTGGTGCCTTTTGCCAGTCACTCTGAAACCCACATAGTCCCAAGGCCTGGAAATTGTGCAACATACAGTCTTTTGTAACTAGTGTTTCACTCAGCATTGCAATTCCAAGCCGTATCTGTATTGTACATATGTTCATTGAACTTCATTCTTTTCATTGCTTAATATTCCATTGCTCAAATAAATATACCCTCCAGTTGCACAATGGAGTATATATAATTCCATTGCATAACACACAATTATGTTTGTGTGTGTGTGATTTTTTAAAAATGTTTATTTTTTTTGACACAGGATCTCACTATGTAGCCCTGGCTGGCCTGGAACTCACTATGTAGATCAGGCTGGCCTCAAACTCACAGAGATGCACCTGCCTCTGCTTCCTATGTGCAAGGATTAAAGGCATGGGCCACCACACTGGGCCTATTTTATTTTTATTTATGTGCACATGTGTGTGTGGGGGCGGGGTGGTGGTGCCTGTGGGGGCCAGAAGAGGGCATTGAATCCCTCACAGCTGGAGTTACAGGCAGTTGTGAGCTGCCCAGTGTGGGTGCTGGCAACTGAACTCAGTCCTCATGATAGAGTAGCAAGTGTTTTTAACTACTGAGTCATCTCTCTAGCCCCATATGTGTGATTTTTTTCAACTAGGACTTTGTTCCTTAGTAGAAAGACTGAGGCAGAGGACTGAAGGATCCTCAGACCTGGCCCTGGCCCCTCAGGTGGAGCAGCCTGAATGGTGCTGAGGGAGATGAAGATCTTTTTGTGCGTACATGGTGCTGAGGATCAAACCCAGGGCCAGCACATACTCTGTCACTGAGCTACCCCCACCCATTTCTCACTTTCCTAAAACCCACATGGGTGAGCCAGGCACCATGCAGGGCCTGTGTTCCAGGTTCACAGTCACCATGATGGCCTCTGGCTGGGCTCAAAGGCCAGTTGCTCCCCTCCTGGTCTAAACAAGCTTACTGGGGAACTGGGTGGTCAGCTGCTGGGAAGAGCAGCCTGGTTCCTGCTTGGAAGCCCTTCCTGCTCTTATAAATTGTAATGACTTGTGACTGGTTAGATGGCTTAGCAGTTAAGAGCACTGGCTGCTCTTGCAGAGGACCCAGGTTTGATTCCCAGTACTCACATGGTGGCTAACAACTATCTGTAATTCTAATTCCAGGGGATCTGATGCCTTTACATCTCCTCGGGCATTGCATGACATGGGTGCACTTACACACATGCAGGCAATACACTCATAGACATAAAATAAAAACAACAAAATAAAGAAAAAATGCAGTGACTTTCTCTGAGGATTCTCAGTTGCCCACTGCCCTGGGAGCATGCCTGGGGTGTGGGGCAGCTGTACCCCTACTTGAAGTCTGGTGTCTCTACCTCACAGGGAAAACAGAGTGAGTGCCCAGCGCAAAACCCTGGAAGCCAGAAACACCCTCAAGCTGTGGAAGAAGTCCTACTTTGACATCCGGGCCAAGATTGAGGCTTCTGGTCGGGAGGCACGCTGGGAATTTGACCGGAAGCGGCTGTTTGAGAGGACAGACTACATGGCCAGCATCTGCCAGGACCTTGCCGATGTCCTGCAGGTAGGGGCCATGTCTTCCCAGATGTGTGTGCACCTACCTGACAGAAACTGTCTGACAGAAGTAGCTGATAGGGGACAAGATCATATAGGTAGAAGCTGAGGATCTGGAGGGGTCTAGTGGGGAGAAACTCTTGAAAGATGACTAGAATGTGCCACAATGTACCACAGCACCCAGACTTTTTGTGACTTTGACTCTGCACGTATGTGTATGTATATGTGTGTGATGATCCTGTGTATGCTGGTGCACTTGTGTGTGTGTGTGTGTGTGTTTGTGTGTGTGTGTGTCTATGTACTTGCACACTGGTGTGTGTGTGGAGGCCAGAGGTCAACCTTGGGTATCATTCTGGCCTGGAACTTGCCAGCTAGATTGGCTGGCCAGTGAGTCCCAGGGGTCCAAGGCTCTCCAGTTCCCATCTTGAGTGGGTTTGTTTCCTTAACCAATTAAACATTTAAAAAGCAGGAAGAGTCTCAGACATATCAGGTAACAAACATTATTAAAAGAAACACATATACATTCACACACACATATCACACATACACACCTCTCACACATATACTCAAAACACACTCACATGCTCACGCTCACCCTCACACACACTTTCACACACTTTGACACGCATACACAAACACACATGCTCACACACACATTCATGCTCACTCTCATCCACACTCATCCACACTCAAACACATACTCACATACTCTCTCTCTCACACACACACAGAGAAACAGGTCTCTTGAAAATGAGGGGAGGATTCAGAGACAGAAATCCAGAGCCCTTAGGAGGCCCTGGGTCTTTTAAGCATTCTTTGTGGTATAGGGTAGGTCTCTGTCCCCTAATTTTGGGTTGGTCAACTGAAACAAAAAAGAGAGAGTTGATAGGCCACATCTCTTGGTGAGAGTATGTCCAGGTAGGAGCTTGGATTTATCTAAACTGGTTTGGACCAGTGAGCTGGAAGAGGGGCCCTGCTGGAGGCAGAAGCAGCCCTGGGCCTTTGTCTCAGGTGAAGAAACTTTGTATCTTTGTTACTCAGCAGCAGCCCTTCCCTATTTGCCTGTCAGGGAATTTGCCTAAATTCTAGTCCCTCACTGGGATTATAAACACATGCCACCAAGCCTGATCCCTCTCTCTGCATTTGTGGGAGCCTCTGTGCCACTGCTTTACTGACTGAGCCCATCCCCACAGCCCCTTTGCCGCTTGTTTGTCCTCTGACCTCCCTCTGCCTGTAGTGCTCCCACTCTCATGCCTTAACCACTGAGCCATCTTTCAAGCCCCTGGTGTTTCTGTGAATATTTCCAAGCCTCCTTTATGCATTTGAAACGCGCTCAGGTGAGAATGGAGATGTGGTCCCTGAACTGTTAGTGCCCAACTTACTCGTCATAGCCACAAGGATGTGACACTGGCTTTGAGTCTCACTAACCCACTGGAAGTCTCTGTTTGAGGCCTCTGTGAATGAAGGGACAGCAAGGGATAATGGAACAGCAGGCAGATTTTTCTGGATCCTGCTCACATGTACTTCACAGCTTCCGTAAAATCATTTACAGTCCAAAGATGAAGTCTGTCCTAGTTTGTTTCTTCATTGCTGTGACAAAATACTCTGACCACTACCAACTTGGGGAGGAAAGGGTTTATTTAGCTTACATCTCCTGGGTCACAGTTCATCAGGGAGTCCAAGGTAGGAACTCAGGGCAGGAACCTGGAAGCAGGAGCTGGAGCACAGGCCATGGAGGAATGCTGCTTACTGGCTTGCTCCCCTGGCCCCTGCTCAGCCTGCTTTCTTATGCAACACAGGCCCACCTGCCCAGGGGTGCCACCACCCACAGTGAGCTGGGCCCTCTCACATCACTCATCAAGAAGATGCCCCTCAGTCATGGCCACTGGCCAGTCCAATAGAGGAAATTCCCCAACTGAGGTGCCCTCTGCCCAGGTGTGTCAAGTTGACACTAAAGCTATCCAGCACGAAGTCTTACCAATTCATGATGAAATCAGCAGAACGTGAACCCAGCCCAGCTTCCTCCTGCGCAGCTGGCCTGTCTAGGCCTGGGAAAGCAGCCCAGCCAATACATTCCTGGTCTTTGTCTTGAAAGAGACGGACAGAGTAGCAGGTGAGGGTGACGTGGAACTGACTTTCAGGCTCTGACCAAATCTCAACATATTGGATACAAGAAGTGATATTTAGGGATAAGTAGGCACTAGGGAGGCACTTTGACTGGCAAGTGCAAAGGCCCTGAGGCAGGAAGGAATCTGGAGCTGGAAAGTTCTGCTTGACTGCAAGGCAGCAGAGAATAGCATGGGAAGAGGAGGGGTGGGGAAGAACATGCAGTCCTGGGAAGCCCCTTTAGGGCCTCTGAATCTTCTCCTCTGTATAGTGGGCATGGCACCAAAGGTCTCAGGTGGGGAGGAGATAGCCTGTGTGACATGATTCTTGCTCTCTGGTTAATCTAGAAATGTTGTTTATAGTTAGAATATTCACAAGAAAACCAAAGCTTTAGCTCCTCACTGTTCTCTTTGATCACACAGGTCATGGAGGAATTTTACAACATATTTGGCCCAGAGCTGAAGGCTGTGACTGGGGATCCCAAGCGTATTGATGATGTCCTGTGCAGGGTGGACAGCCTGGTCACCCCAATGGAAAACCTGAACTTTGACCCCTTCAGCATTAAGTCTTCCCCATACTGGAAATACGTGATGGATGACTTTAAGCTTGAAGTTCTGGCAAGTAATGTGACTGTCAATCTGACCACAGGAGCAGAAGCCAGATTTCCATGTGTTGAATTGTTACTGATGCTTACAGTTGTTTTTTAAGATTTCTGTATTTATATGCATGTGTTTGTATGTTTGTGAGTATATGTGCATGTGTGTATGCAGGTATGTACATCTGTGTGTACACACAAGGCCAGAAGAGGGTGTTGAGTGTCCTTCTGTATGACGCTCCACTTTGAGGCAGGGTCTGTTCCTGAACCTGGGCTTCACATTTTCTCTGCTAGGCTAGTTGCCAGCAAGTCCCAGTGATCCTACTGTCTCTGCTCTGTTTGGAGCTGGGATTTCAGGCATGTGAAAGATGTCCCACTGAGAAGCCTTATCTCCAGCCTATGATGTTTACAATCCTAGCTTTTGTAAGCATTTATCTCAGGCATTCTGTTCTCCGCTGCTCTCCCATCTTCCTCTTTTCTCTTGGACTCCTTTTTAAAAAATTAATTTATTTTTATTTTATGTGTATGAGTGTTTTGCCTGCATGTGTGTAAATGCAACCATGTTGTACATAGCCCACAGAGGCCAGAAGAGGGCATTGGATCCGGTGGAACTGGAGTTACAGATGATTGTTTACTACCATGTGGATTCTGGGAACTGAACTCAGGTTCTCTGCAAGAGCAGCCAGTGCTCTTAACTGCTGAGTCATCTCTCCAGCCTCTTGGACTCCTTTGTTTTGCTAGAGCACATCTTTTTAGCTAATTAATGTTTGTTTCCCTTAAAGTTTCTTTTTAATTATTATTTTATTTGGTCTTTTTGAGACAGGGTCTCCCTGAAGCCTCAGCTGGCCTGGAACTCACTATGTAGACCAGGCAGGCTTCAATCTCACAGAGATCTACCTGCCTCTGCCTCCTGAGTGCTGGGACTAAAGGTGTATGCCACCACACTATTATTATTATTATTTTTAACAACTAATCCTTAAAAACATTTTATTTTTATTTTGTTTATATGAGTGTTTTGTCTATATGTATGTGCCTACAGTATCTGTGGAGGCCAGAAGACAGTGTTGGATTCCCTAGAACTGGAGTTACAGATGGTTGTTAGCTGTCATGTGGCTGATGGGAACCAAAACCAGGTCATCTGCAAGAGTAGCCAGTGCTCTTAACCACTGGGCTACCTATCTAGTTCCAAGATAAAAAAATGTGTATATGTGTGCTCACATGAGTTTGTGTACACCATGTGCATGTAGGTGCCTGTGGAGGTCAGCAGCGTTGGATCTCCTGGAACTGGAGTTACAGACGGTTGTAAATTGCCCAGTGTGGGTTCCTAGAACCAAACTTGTATCCCTGGCAAGAGCAATAAGCACTTCTAAACAATAAGCCATCTCTTCAGTTCCAATTAAAAAAATTTTTTTAATTAAAAAAATATTTTATTATTTTCATTTTGTGCTTTGGGCGCTTGTGCACGTATGAAGAAATAAGTAAAGAATAAAACTGTACAAGTCCCATATAAGGTTTTCAGATATTGGAATTATGAAATCTGTTTATGAACCAATCTTTGCTTAAATAAATATTTTATTATTTTCATTTTATGTGTATGAGTATATTGCCTGCATGTATGTGAGTGCACCCATGTCGTGCAATGCCATGGAGGTCAGAAGAGGGCTTCGGATTTCCCTGGAGCTGGAGTCAAGGATAGTTTGTAGCCGCCATGTGGGTGCTGGGAATTGAACCCGGTCCTCTGCAAGAGCAGTTAGTGTTCTTTACTGCTGAGCCATCTCTCCAGCCTCTCAGTCCCAATTTTTAATTTATTTGTTTTAAAACAGGCTCTCATGTAGTCCAGTCTGACCTCAAGCTCAGGTAGCTGAGAGTCACCTTGGACTTGACCCTCCTGCTTTCATCTTCTGAGTGCTGGGATTACAGGTGTGAACTGCCACACCAGGGCTTATGTGGTGCTGTGGATGGGATGGATCCTGGGGCTTCATGCATGCTAGGCAAGGACTCCTGAGTGAGGAATGTCTACAGCCTCTGTTTTCAGTGGTCTTTAAAGGTTTCATGGGACATAGATGTTTTGAATGTGTGTGTGTGTATGAATTCTGAAATAGCAGCTATAGAACTCAAAGCTGGAAGTAAGTTTTCTTCAGAAATCTGAAGACATCCTTTGTTGATTTCCAACTTCCAGTGTTATTAGTGACTTCTGATTTCATTTTTCTAGAACCATCCCATCACAAAACACAGTGGTGGAGTTGTCCTGGTTGTGTTTAGTGGGGGAGTGCCCTCCCCCTACCTTTGGGTCTCTTCCTAGTATCTCTGAATGCTCACAGCAACCTCCTTTCCTTTGGAGCAAACAAGGAACTCACCTGTGCCCCCTGTTGCCAGCATTAGGTTCATGTGTATGTGTTTTCATATACATGTTTGTATACATTTGTGTACATGTGTACGTGTTTGTGTATACATATGCGTACGTTTATGCATGCTTGTGTGTGGTATGTGTATATACATGTTTGTGTATATAGATGTATAGGTGTGTAATGCATGTGTATGCATGGATGTGCATGTTTGTGCATGTATACATGTACATGTTTGTGTAGTGTGTGTACATGTGTATGCATGTGTGTGTGCAGGTGTATGCAGGTGTGTGGAGGCCAGAAGTCAACATCAGGTGTCTTCCTCAGTCTCTCTCTACATTATTTATTTATTTTTTTACACAGAGTCTCCCTGTAGCCCCAGCTAACCTAGAATGCACTACATAGACCAGGCCAGCCTCAATCTCACAGAGGTCTGCTTGCCTCTGCCTCCAGTGTGCTGGGATTAAAAGGGTGTACCACCATGCCTGATCCTCCACCTTATGTTTTGAGGGTCTTGCTGAACCTGGAGCTTGCTCAGTGGCTGGGCTGGTTATCCAGAAAGCTCCAGGGAGCCTCCTATGTCCTGCCCCCAGCATTGGGATTACAGGTGTGTGCTATCCAGGCTTTTTATATGGGTACTGGGATCCGAACTCAGGTCTTCATGCTTGCAAGTCAAGCCCTTCACCAGCAGCATCTCCACAGCTCAGGTCAGTTCCTTTGACTAGATGCAGGCCTCCATGGAGCAGGACAGACCTGTCCCGAGGTTCTCCCTCAGTTCTTTTCTTTCTTTTTTTTTTTTCAAATATATAAGAGTGTATTGCCTGCATGTATGTAAGTGCACTTGTGTCGTGAAATGCCCATGGAGGTCAGAGAGGGCATCAGATTCCCCTGGAACTGGAGCTATGGATGGTTGTTAGATGCCATGTGGGTTCTGGGAATTGAACCCAGGTCCTCTGCAAGAGCAGCCAGTGCTTTTAACCCCTGAGCCATCTCTCCAGCCCTCTTCCCCATTTCTTGCTACTTTGTTTTTACAGGATAATTGAAAGGACTTGACAGCTGCTTTTTTTTTTAAACCTTTTCTTTCTCTTCTAGGTTATTGAGAAAGAAGCAAAAAATTTTATTGATGACTCTTTCAAGACGCTCCGGTCAGCGGAAGCAGCCTTCGACATGCTTTTAAAATTTAAGCATATCCATTCACGGGAGGCCATTAACCGACAGATGATGATGAAGTTTAATGACATCCTGGCACAGTACTGCAAGGAGGTAATCAGGAAATGCATGGCTGCCCAATGGGGAAGATACAGGCAAAACCAACCCACTCTCCCTGTTCTTTGTCCTTCCCATGGAAATGCACAGACACAATGGGATGCCCTATAGGCATGTAACATAATACAGGTGACCCAGACAAAGTGGGCCTGCTATGTAGTAGAGAAATTCAGTAAGAATTTATCAAGTATAATTGTCATTATTTAAAACATCTTAATTTGTCATTATGATTGTGTGTGTGTGTGCATGTCTGTGTGTGTCTGTGTGTGCCTAGGTGTGTACTCAAGTGGTGGTCAGAGGACAACCCAAGGGAGTCTGTTCTATCCTCCTACCATGTGGGTTCTGGGTATCGAACTCAGGTATTCAGGCTTGCACAGCAAATGCCTTTACCACTGAGCCATCTCTCAGGTCCTCAAATATAGATTATTTACCTCACATTGGTCTGTGTGAGTTGGAAATAAACAGAGTAATGTGTGGGGATGCAGCTCAGTGATAGAATACTTGCTTAGCATGCACAAGGCCCTGGGTTCCATCCCAAGCACAGGGAAGGGGAGATG